CAGGGACTTGAACCAGATGGATACTTACTGAAGTAGTGAATACAGGCTTATGCCAGTAACGGATAGACTCATTTCTGTAGTTTTACTGCGATATTTATTTGCCAGAAACATACCTATTGTGACTTTGATTATCCAAAATTCTGCCAGCCAAGCCAGGGTATAAATGTGTATTTTAACATGCTTAAACCTGTTTTACTTAATAAATTGTACTTTCAAGATCATATCTAAGACATCATTTCTGGATTTATAAAAAAGCATTGGTGACCTCAGTGGATCAGGGAAGATGTCCCTTATCAAATGGGTGTGCTGGTATAAAACAAGTAGGTGTAAGTTTTGGAAGTGAGTCAAACTGCGTAGACAATAAATATTAAGGAACAGAGGAAAGTACAGTTAAGAAATGTTTCTTAATAAACTGCAGCGGATGTCCAGTTTTCTCTGGGTCTACATACATCAAGTGTTCTCTCTTACTAATTACTTTTGTTTCCCACCAAAACTCAAAACTATCAGTAAAGCTATTTCTTTTAAATACATAAATTCTTAATGTTGTATTTTCTAAATACATTATAATCGTCAATACTTTATAACTGCAGGTTCTTAACTGGTTTTGGTTTTAGCCTGTCAGCAATGTTTTTACACCTGGCTCAAAACCACTGTGAACACAGACTTTCTTGGTTGCCCCTGTGTGTAGACAACGGCCTGAGTTTTGTTTTTGAAAAGGGCTTGGAGTAACCTTCTTCACAGTGAAGGGGCATCTGATGACTCTGTATCGGTGTTTGAGGTTTTCCTAAGTCTTCTTAGTAACACCAGCTTTCAGCGGGTCTCTGCTCGCCAAGCTTTCTGTCTTACAAATTGCTTTGCTTGCCGCCAAGACTCAGAAGGCTAGCTGATACCTGGTGCGTTAGCCCCTCTGTTCATGGGGCCTGCGCCGCTTGGCTGTGTCAGTGAAATACCCCGAGGAGATACTGCCCAAATGCACTGTTTCTTGACTGAAGAATAGCAGTGGGCTTCTGGTTATTTTACGGTGTGACGGCAGTGAAGAACAGGATTCTGAGGAAACAAACTTAGGGCGATTTAACTGTACCTCAGAGGAATTGTTGGAAGTCAGTTAAGCTAGAGCCTGTGTAGTAGAAAGAGCCCTAAAAAGTGAAATACTTAGGACAAGGTGAGTTAGAGCAGCTGCCGGCCCGGCAGTAACCACCAGTCATACCTGACAGTTTGACTAAATGCTCATCCCTGCCCGAAGTACAGTCTTCAGACTTCCAAAGAGAGCAGAGTCGGGGGCAGAAGGGATGGAAGCAGCACCGGAGGAGCCTGTCGTTGTAAAAACAGAATAAGGTGAGGCAGCTGATGATTCTGGAATAAGTTCTAGAACAAGTCACCTGGACAGGTCAACTAGGGGATGTTCTAAGAACAAATTTCAGATATTTTAAAGAACAAAACAAACAAACAAACCCCAAACCAACAAATTTCAGGAACCCACTGAGGAAGCCTTACAGAAGCAGATTCGGATATGTTAATGACAACGTTTTAAAAGGTAGTATAAGCAACAGTACCTGAAGCCACATGTACAAGTCACATCGTTGCTCTAGTCCTCCTGTCACCTCACCTCTCACCGCTGTATGGATGGATTCCAAGAGCGTGAGGCAAATTAAATGTGCCGGTAGGGATTTGTTCTCTCAAAGTTTGAACTGATTATTAAAAATAATTAAAGCTTGGATTAGAGGTGTAGCAAGCATCAGCACAAGTTTCAGGATATATTGTGGTGTTTGGAATTCTGTCTCGCTTGAAGGCTGTTACAGTGTTGTATCACTATTGGCTTTGAAGAATTGTTCCAGACATCCTGTTTTATTATTCCTTGTGCTGATACTGGTGCAAAAGTCCCCTGGGTATGCCAGAACACTGCCTCTTGGTACTCTGTTCTTGGCGCATCATTCGGGGAGTAAGGGGGTAGCAAAAGGACGGTAATTCTGTGGCTAGGAAGTGTCTGCATCTTAATTTGGTATCCTGTTCAATGGTCACCCGCATTTTTCCTCATCTCTTGGCTGTTGATGAGGGTTTTTCCCACGTTTGAAACTCAAAATGCTCTGTTAGGTTCTAGTAAAGGACACGTGGTGAGTGGCTGTTTCTGTACTTTTTAAGCCCCCTCCATTCCTTGGTAGGCTCTTTGGGCAGTAGGTGATGAATATCTTCAAACAGGGGGA